CTAAATGTGCCAAATGGTGGCACTTCTTTTATCGATATTTAGGGAAATGAATTGGAAAATGCTCAGTATCTGGTAAGTAATACTTCGGTACTGTCCCCTATCACACATTGTGGCCATTGTCCCAATGTAACGCTGAAATCTATCCTTTTGTCCATTCTTTTCTCGGGGTTAGTACCAAAATCTCCATAACCTCACACGAAAATTCAGCAGCCTGTAAGAGCAGCCTTCGAAGCATCCTACCGCTCAATGCGTTCTCCACCACTGTAGGGTTTTTTCTGGAATGCCACTCCCGCATTCGGCAGTCTAGCGCTTCGAAGTCCTCTCTCGGGTTGTTGATGGAAGATATCATGGTCATAGTGATAAAGTTAGTTGCTGCTGTTCATGGCAACTGAGTAAACAACCGTCATGCATCTGAACTCCAGTTGCTTTAGCGGCCGTACATGATGTCAATAACGATAAAGCCTAGGAGTGAGTTGTGTGCGAACTACTGAGAGCCTGATACCTGGTCATATCAATCGCATTGTGGCAGTAAGCGGTGTTGCGGATTTCCGCATGATGACGCTTTCAACCTCTTATCAGTTGCTGTCACTTAGTGTCACCCGTCAGTGGGTGTCCGCCCCTCCCCCTATACCACTTCTTGGAGCCAAGGTCCCACAGACCCTGCAACCTGCGCTACTAATCTGGTGACCCTCGGCGTCTAAGGCCCCTTATCAAATCATATCAGATGTTATCAGCTTCTGTCACCCACCAAAGATGTTCCGTCCTACCGTGTATATCACTTCTTGAAATCACGGTCCCGCAGCTGCTGCAACTTGCGCTACGATTTCGGTCACCCTCCCCTTCTAAGGCCCCTTATCGAATCTTATCAAGTGTTATCACCTCCTGTCACCCACCAAAAGTGTTCCCGTCCTGCCATGTATATCACTTCTTGGAACTGCCTTTTCTGCGACGCTCGCTATGAATTTCGTGACAGACAGACGCACACACACACACACACACACACACTGACAGACATACTTAGCGTATTATATACCAGTCGGATCGCCCGGCTGACGCCGAGCTCTCCTCCTTCTCTTTGGCTCGGCTTCGCCAGGCTATATAATGATAAACGGATTTTTTTCATTCACTCGGCTGCTCATACGATGCTGTAGTGGTTGAATCAAATCAAATACAGCAACCCTGCAGATCATGCACTCCTTAGCAAACGCTTATACTGGCGCTCCGCGCCATAACGCCCATACAATACATAGACTTATAGCTATAGATAAAGAGAGATCGATCGATCAATATAGGCTTGATTGTGGGTACTATACTCCCTTATTATGTTCTCATCAGTAATTGGAAGTTTGAAGAAAAAATTCACAAATCAAAATTTTCCTGACATTCCCGTTTCAGGCAAACTACATACCCCCTCCCCCCCCACCGACATACATTATATATAGTAGGATAGGT